ATATCCCTTTGACAAGTGCATTGTATTTCTATTTTACTCTGCAATGGTGCTACTATAAGCAAGAAAAATAATATTGCAGTGTAAGAACGTGAAAATAACTGTAGAATATGCCAAACTCTCTAACCTATCATGTAGATATTGTGAACATTCTATCCTCTTTTTGTCCCAATTTTTCATATTAGTGCAATTATACTCAGGAAATGTTGGTTAGAAAGCACGCTAGTAAAACATTATTTTGTATTATGAATCTTTCCGTTGGCAAGATAGCCTGATATGTAATTTATACACTGTTAAACAGCTTTGTGTCTAATGTGTTGTCCTTTCAGTGAAGAATGAAAAAGTTACGAAGAAGTTGGTAGCAATAGTTGCCTTTCTCTGAGTCCCCTGTATGTATTATGTGCGTTTTGAAAGAATACAATGTCATCAACTTTTGCACATCTAAGACTGAAAATCTATTATTTGTAACTTCTACATTACGTTGAATTGAATTTTTATACCTTCATAAGCCTTTACGAATATTGCAATGAAATAATTGCGTGTTCATTTTGCAGGTTTTGGAAACAAAAATTGATGCACACTCAGATCAGGGGGTTTTCTAGAAAAATTTAGCATGAGGGAGCAGATCGCAAGCATGGCAAGGAACGAAGCGACCGGGGGGGGGGGATTTAACACAGTTTGTAATGCTAGAATGCATTGTTGTATTGTTTTTACATCTTTACTGGAAAAAGATCATTTTGAGAAAGACTAAATGGTGTGTATTACCCACAGGGTTCAATTTAAAAATTGATATGAGGGAGCTGGATGGTTACATGAGGGAGCAGCTCCCTTATTCCCCTGTTTAGAAAAACCCCTGCCTGAGATGTCATCCATATAGCCAAGTCAGTTGTGGTCTCATATACAGGATAATAAAAGTAAAAGACTACAACAGACAAGAAATGCCACTACACGTGTTTTCCTGGGATTTTACTGAAGGTTTACATAAAACCCTTTTAAAAACTGCACAAACATACTGCACAATATTCCGCCATGCCTGGTCAGTCTTGCAATACTGCTGCAAAGCTTTACTTTTCCACATTCATTATTCAAAAAATATATCCGAAATCCAAGGTTTTCATACAGTTAAATGCCAGTGTTGGTATAAAATATGGTGAAGTAACTAAAAACACAACTCATACGGCTATGTTATAATGTATACGCCTGTCCGTGAATAAATAATCGAGAAATATTATTACATAGAGAAGTTAAAATCAAGCTGGATAAAACTAGAATCGTTTACATGTACATGCATTAGTGATTACTAATTTAACATACCAAATTTTCTTGCAATTTACAAAATTGAGAAGAACTTGAAGAAATAACTAATACAATCTCTATAAGCTTGTGAAATACTTCTTGAAGCTATCTGCATTTGCTAGTCAAGACTTGCTTAGCCATGTCCACTTTAGTCTTCCTATATGTGACAGTATTGTAGAGATAGAAGGTATGCACCATTTTTAACTATTGCTACATGTAATCCTGATATATGTGATATTCGTAATAAGTACATGATTCTTGTAGTTGCACTTCTTTTCTGACAGTGTTGACTGCGAACTCAAATTTCGTTTTATCGTGTCAGAAAATCTTTAGTCCTAACCAAAGTTGACCAAGCTCCAGAGTAAACAAACAAACAAATACATGTTTATGGTACAATCCTACATAGAGCTACAAGGCATTAATATGACACTGTTGTTTGATGCATGTAACAAGCCAAAATTAAACTTTGACTAATCTTACAGACCAAGTTAAAAAAAACAACTATGAAATAAAACAGTATCTCTAGATATGAAATAATGGTAAACATTTTTGTTGTATCTATAAACAAAGTGATTATATATCAAGCACATGCAACATTGGGGTGTATTGTCTATTATCACTTATGGCAATTAATTTAGCCTACTTAATTACTAAGAAGCCAGGGAAGACAATAGCACATTCTTGTTTCATTGAGCACCATACATAGAATTGCAGCCTCCCTACTGCAATGTTCCCGATTTTTAATATAATATATTGCTGGTTAACTTGCATGTCAGAATTTAAGCATTAGAATATACATAATGGCAAATATATCATAATGATTACATAATTATTGAAAAATGAGGTGATCTGTTGTTTCATCAGCAGAACATGAAATTTAAGTAGCTGATCAAAAAGAGACAAAAACAAACTAGTTCCACACTAAAAGCAAATCCTGGATGCAGTGTCCAGTGACTGCAAATTTTTTCATCAGTTGTGGCAGATCAATGATTTTCTACTCAGCTACAAGATGATTTACGTATTTATTCATTACTTGAACAGGTCTGACAGTTTATAAGCAAAAGTTAAACATTAACATGAGCCTACAAAACCGATTTTAGCTGCCAAATCTCTTTTTTTTCCTTACCAAAAGAGACTCAACAACTAAAAAAGAGGTTTGGTTAAACCAGGCTACATGAACATAAGTTGTTCAAGGGTTAAATTATTTTGGCAAATTGGAAAATATTGGACTGCAAGACCAAGAAATAGATCAAATGGAGAAGCATAACTTAGTGGTCTTGGTTACAGTTAGATACACAATGTGTCAACAGCTCCCCCTATTGTAAGGATGAAGAACTACAGCTCATCCAACTCCCACTTCATGCATTCAGGGGTAAACTCTAGAGAAGACCAATCAAAGAGATTGTTACACCTGTGTTAGGACTGACATGTTTCTGTTCTGCTGCTACAAGGAAGTTTCATTGGTCTAGAGTAGATTTGAAGACCAATCAAAGACACTGTTACAGCTGTGTGTTAGGACTGAAGTTTCTTCCAGCTTGAACATGTTTTCGTTCTGCTGCTACAAGGAGGTTTCGTTGGTCTGTGGTCGAGAATTCTCCTCTTCCAAGAGCGCTATCCTCTGTGTTAACATTCGCACCTACATGTAGTGTCACAGGGGGTTAGAACACAGGTTAGCAAGAAATCTTTTACCTCCATGAATGTTTTTGTTCATTTATTGACAAACAAACATGCAAACAAACAAACATGGTTGTAATTAGCATCACCTATTTTTATTGATGGTTATCTGTATCCAAATAAGATACTGTAACAGTTGTATGTAAGGAAGTTCTATCCTATGACAGAGGAAATTTGCACTATGAAAGCACCCAAAAATTTGACTAGTGTAACCTGTCATTGGCAGCAGTGTTATACATATAAAGAGAGGCTGAGAAATTATGTCACACTTCAAGACACTTAATTATGTGGAAACAACAGATAAGATAAGAAGATGTAAATGTACATGAAAAGTAGATGTCATCTTTGAGGAAGAAACAGACACACCAAAAACAATACCTCTGTTTTCAAAGAGGTAACATCCTCTGGTTTTGGACAATGAATAAGCCACAAAAACAAGTGTTTCAAAAAGGAGCTTCTTCAGACAAAAACAAACAAACAAAAAAACATACCTGTGTTTCGTGTCTGTCGACCATGGCCATCATCTGAGACTCCAGTTTCTTCAGCCGACTCTGATGTTTTTTCTTTGCCTTTTCATAAGCTGCAACAAGACCACTGTGGGGGAAAAATGCACAGATTTACTGACAAAAAAATGTTCATCTATTCAACAAACAACTCTTTTCTATAAATCAATTTTGCACTGAATACTTAGTACTGCAAGTATGACATTCCTACTTTTTGTTATGTATGATATTCCTACCTTTTGTATGTACACACCATAACTTATATCATAGCATTTTACCTGAATATAATATTTCTTATACAGTGGTGGCTGGCAATATATTCAGAGGTTATATAATAATCTACAATTTGTATTTTTTTACCTGTTTGCCCTTTTAAGATCATTAACAAACTCTGCCGACTGCTGATGCCTGGTTTCGTTGTTCCGCTGTACCGTCTCCAAGGTGGTCACCAGTTCCTGGATGCGAGCCTTGAGGCGTTTTTCTCGGCGCAGCACGTCGGCCAAGGCTTGTGAGACCTCCGTGTCGCCCCCGACGTGAACGCGCAGTTCTTCCAAAGTCGTGATTGGTGTGGCTGTGTGTGTGGGGACACCGACCTGGGATATAAAGTCACAGTTTTTATTACGTTTACACATATTGTTTTGTTCTGTTTCTTCTTCTCCAAACAACAAAGTCAGATATTAAGTCAGTTTCTATTATGTTTACCTATGCAGAAGGGAAACATATTGTTTTGCTCTGTTTCTTCTCCTCCAAGCAAATAAGGTCAATGACTAGGACCAGACGGCTGTCACCATGGTAACTGGTGCTGTAGCAGACACCATGGGGTGTGATTACATTATGTAGCAAGTGGCAGGACAGAGTTGAAGGGGCAGGTCACCATATATAAAATTTGTTTGGTGCAAGTAATTTTCAGTGTTACCTGCACCAGTGCAAGACTTAGAATGCAGAGAAAAGATTTCGAGCCCTGTGTATCTTATACCACACTCACCTGGTTGTCTTGTACTCTCTGATGCTCCTTGACTTCTGACTTGAGATGGTCGATCTGCACCTTGTAGGCCTGCTCCTGGGCATCTCGAGACGTGATCTTCAGCTCCAGAGCCTTCTTCTCCTTCTCCATCAAGTACAGCTGGGCCTTCAGTTCTGCCTTCTCTTCCTGAAGACAACAAAGGAACAGCTCTATGTATTTGCTATACATATTTTAAACCTGGTACCCGCAACACAAAGAAATTGGTCTTTTCCAAATTTTTTACTTTGCCATTTTTGTAAAGGGATGAATCCACAGCTCCTGTCTTTTATAATGTGACACTTCAGAAATTATGTACACATAACATGACCTGAGTTGATCAGAAGTGACAGTTCTTAGAGAGCTTGCAACTGCATTTTCGTCTTTATAAATTGCTTTATTGACAGATTGGTACATAAATACTTAACATGAACATTGTTCTTACATAAGTTTAGACAATTTTATAATTACTAACAGTAAATAGACAAAATGCACAAGTAAAGGGAAGCCTAAATATATAAGGAATACTTAAATCATCATCATGGCAAATTGACCTTATAACATATACACGTACCAAAAAGTAAACACCAAAACAGATCTGACAACAAGGTAAACCGAACACCTAAATCTAGAACAACACTTTTTTTGTGACAATTTTCCCCGAACCTTCTAGCCTGGTTACCAAACCTATTATAGCTCCCGAGTCCTACATCCTTTCTGCAAATAGCTATTTGCGGAGAGGATGTAGGACTCGGGAGCTATAATACTAATAAGTTTGGTAACCAGGCTACAAACCTTCATGGCAGTCAGTTCCTGCATGAGCACAGCGTTCTCCAGGTCCAGCCGCTGGGCGCTGGGGTTGACCAGCTCCAGGGTCAGCGGGTCAGGGTCGATGTGGACCGACTCCAGCTCCATGATGGTCAGTCTGACGGCCGCACGGTCGTTCTTCAGCTGCTGGATGTAATCCTTGAGACGAGACTCGTCGTCCTTACTGAAGTCTGTGTCACAGCTGCTGGCTGTGGAGCTGGTGGTACTGTGGAGACATCAGGAGCAGTTAGAAGCTGCTAATTCAACATCGGTAAGTAATTTGTGAGGTATGTGTGAGCTTAAGGCTGCTGGATGTAATCTTCCAGCCGAGACTCGTCGTCCTTACTGAAGTCTGTGTCACAACTGCTGGCTGTGGAGCTGGTGGTACTGGGGGGACATCAGGAGCAGTTAGAAGCTGCTAAATTCAACATCAACAAAAACATGTGTGATGTACATGTACACTTTGTGAGGTATGTGTGAGTTTAAGGCTGCTGGATGTAGTCCTTGAGACGAGACTCGTCGTCCTTACTGAAGTCTGTGTCACAGCTACTGGCTGTGGAGCTGGTGGTACTGTGGGGGACAGCAGGAGTAGTTAGGAGGTGACAGAAACATGTATGTTATGTTGTGTTGTGCTGTGTTGTGTTGTGACTTTACTGAAGTCTGTATCACAACTACTGGCTGTAGAGCTGGTGGTACTGGGGGACATCAGGAGCAGTTAGAAGGTGACAGAAACATGTATGTTATGTTGTGTTGTGCTGTGCTGTGCTGTGACTTTACTGAAGTCTGTGTCACAGCTGCTGGCTGTAGAGCTGGTGGTACTGGGGGGGGCATCAGGAGTAGTTAGGAGGTGACAGAACATGTATGTTGTGTTGTGTTGTGTTGTGTTGTGTTGTGTTGTGTTGTGTTGTGTTGTGTTGTGACTTTACTGAAGTCTGTGTCACAGCTGCTGGCTGTAGAGCTGGTGGTACTGGGGGGGGGGCATCAGGAGCAGTTAGAAG